TTTTGTTCTGTTGTACATAGGTTCACTATGAGTCCGTACCACCTTGATGGCACCTAACAACAATATAATAAGAAGACTTTGTAATTTGACAAGTATATAAGAAAATTCTCCATCCCCAAAATAACTTCTAATTCAGTTCACTTGTTATTGAACATTTGCATACTTGATTTAGTTCATGATAATGTCACTGTTAATAAACTAGTAAAATATTAACTATGCAAATCTTAAGTTATTGAATCAGTTTCTTATATTAAATTGAGATTTGGGTACAAGAAACATGAGAAAGAATGTTGCATTGCAATTTGTGGTTTAGAGAAAAATATTTTTAAGCTCGTTATCTTCATTGTTGCCACCTGTATTTCCACATAATTGAATTTCCCGTATTCTCAATAATTCACAGAATTCTTAGAATTTGAGTGGAGTAAGTGTTTGTACTGAGAGTATGGTTGTCAGTGTAAACTAGGAACTAGCCATGGAGAGCCTTTTGTCAAGAATGTGTCTGAGTGGTGCACATGTTGTTAAGCACTTGGACATGGACTGAAAAATTCATCATACAAGCCCACCCAAAGGCACCTTGGATGGCAGACTTGTGTATCTGCCTCCGAAATGTCACAGCTTTGAAAACCCTGCTCTGTAACACAAGGGGTCTCCAGGAGTCAAAATTGACGCCAGCTGGTCTGGTTTTGGTTTTCCTGCCTGCAAAGTACTTTCCCTAACCCTTACGTTTTTGCCAAAAGCACCTTTGGACATTGTTAGACTTATCAGAACCGTGTCGGACAAAGGGCAGCAAATGTGATTGGAACACTGGAAGCAGCCTGTTCATGATAAGAAACTTCTCACTATGTGTTCATGATTTCATACTGGCATGGGCTGTTTAAAAACAAAGAAACTTAACCATACTTGTTTAAATGCATTGTGGGAATTTAATTTATATTATTATACATCCAAAAATAAATGGTTTGTGGTGTTGCTGTTGTTGATTACAGTCTAGTCGGTTCTGACTCATCACAACCCTTTATAGGGTTTCCGAGAAGCGGCTGACATTATGTTTAGCAGTCCAGTGCTTATCCTACAGTGCCACACCAGGACAGATATGTATAAACCACTGTATATGGATTTTTGATAATTGTTTGTTGTAGTTGTTGCTAAGTGCTGTCGAGTCGGTTCGGGTTTCTGAGCATTGACTATTTCTAAATAAATAATGAATCATAAAAGAATTGTTAGAAGGAAACTATAACAGGCTGCTATTGTTTTTGAGTGTTGTTAAGTGTTGTCAAGTCGGTTCCAACTCACAGCGATGGCCCTGGATAGGGTTTCCTAGGATCAGCTAGTGGGTTTGAACCACTGACCTTGTGGTTAGCAGTCCTGTGCTTATTCTACAACCCTGCCCTAAGATAGTTGTGTAAATGTACATCATTTCTGAGGTCTTGCTTAGCAAATTGAAAATCCTAAAATCAACAAAAACAATCCTAAGAATTAGCATTGCTTCGTACCCAGTGATTTGTACTGTTTTACCTCAACACCTGGTCTTGCCATATGAAAAGAACAACATATTGTTTGTAGTTTTCATCTCACTCTTTTCCTCAAAACACTTTTGGGGTGGGGCATGGTAAACTAAACAGATGTTCTTGATGTCTGTTGTTATGGAACAGCGTAATGTGTAGAATCATAATATGATCTTTGTTGTGTGCCTTCGAGTTGCTTCTGACTCATAGCGACCCTGTACAGGGTTTCTGAGGCTGTAAATCTTTGTGGGAGC